AAAATGTGTGTAGACACACACACAGTGTGTGTGTGTGTGTGTGTGTGGACTGTGTGGCTTCGACAGGTGAGGACACATCAAAGTTACACACGTCAAATTTGGTTTGGATTTTGATTCAGCTTTCACGTTATTTTGAATAATAAACTTCCCATATAATTAGAGGGAGTAGAAAGCGAGTGAGAGAGAGAGTGAGTGAGAAATGTGAGAACTTTTTGGCGGCATTTTGCCTAGCTGCCATGAGAAAGCTTACATGTGATGTGTGTGAGTGTGTCTGAGGTTCACTTTGAGTGAGTGTAGAAAATCTGCCATCGGATTATTACATGTGAAAGCATTAAAACCAAAGGCACATCAAGTGTGTCAAATGTGTTAAAGAACAAACGAACACAAAACAGCAACAACAACAAAAAATCTGCATAATATAATTTTAACAAGCATTGAAACAAAAGCATATCACAATAATCCACACTGCAAATGGCGAAATCCACAAATTTATATGAACTGTTAAAAGTTTGGTATGGGAGAGAGAAATAGAGGAAAAAAAATAAACCACCGACACACAACGTGTTAATACCCATATGATGTACAGCAAAAAAAGTGAGTGACAGTGAGATCGAGAGTCACAAGCACCCATCATACACGCAGACACACACTGTGAACTGGAATGAATTTTTAACGCGGCTACCAAATTCATTGACTAAGTGATAGGATAAAATGGGAAAATTACCAAAGTGCTTGTTTAAATGTGCTCGCCATGGATGTGTATCATTCCATCACATGTGGAATTTTTTCATTTTTTGATACACACGCGGGCGGACGCGATAGGCTTTGATGAAAGCCTACATTCGTTCGATGAGGCTTTCATAATTTTTATGTACATTTTAAATACTGAACGCCTAGTCTTTTATTGCTATTCTCACTTCTTTCGTGGATTCGAGCTGAGCTGTGTACGTTTCACGAACAACTGAACGCGTAGGCGTTCATTGCTACGAATGCACGAAAGCAGTGAGAATAGCAGTGAAAGCCTAGGCGTTCAGTATTTAAAATGTACATGAAAATTATGAAAGCCTCATCGAACGAATGTAGGCTTTCATATCAAAGCCTATCGCGTCCACCCGGGCATTTTAATGTGGGAGAGAAAAAACCACACACACAAAAAAAAACACACACACACACACACACTTTAAATTGAAATGAAAAAGAAAATCAAATCATATCTAAGCGTAGCCAATCGGGCTGTATAATTTTCCAATGAAATGACAAACACACACTTTGAATAACTCAAACATTTTTTTTGTCGTTGCGTGAATATTCATAGTTGGGGACGGAGGCGACAATAGCCGTGCAGCATGTGTTTTATTTTCGAAATATTTCATGTCGATGAATAAAAGACGGTGTTATAAATTGATTTAGAGACTAGACTTCTTGGACAGTATTATAATTGGAAAATCAATTGGATATGTTTGTTTGTCGTGAAAATGAATCAATTAGTCATGTGATTTTGGGACTGTTGAAGTGCATTTGGCGTGTATGTTTTTTTTCGGAGAGTACATGGTTTAGTTTTGAATTGTCAACGATAAATGACTCTATCGCCTAAATTGATTGGGCACATCAATCAATTTCAAAACGAGAGAGACGCGATAGCGTGTACCAATGCCAAAAGTGGTTCGATTGGAAACGTCTGTTTGTCATCTCCGGCTCAGTGCACAGAACAACTGTGTGTTTGTGTGTTGTCTTTTTCTTCGTCTCTCTGCTGCTGTTCACTTTACTTCCGATTCCTCCATCATTGTGACCCCCCAAAAAAAAAATATTCTGCTGACTTATTTTTGTCTGCTCGCTATTTTCCAATTCCAGTTCTCTGTCTCTATATTATATAGACTATATATAAATATTGAGAGTGCATTTTCACAACCTGTGCGTATGCGTGTGCTTGTGTGTGTGTTGATAGCGTTCGTGACAAAATGATTGGAATTCGATGGAGAGAGAGACGGCATAGCACACATCAGAAAAAAAGCAGCAGTAGCAGCAGCGACGGGAAGAGAAAATTATGCGCGTTTCTCGATTGCATGATGAAGAGCTCTGTTTAACTTCAGCTCCGTGGTTAATCATCCAAAGTATACAGGTAAATATTTTCACATGAACCGAATGAATGAGCAAGATAGAACGTGTATATGTACCACCCATATATACATATACACACACGGAGAGAGAATTGAATCCCATTTTACCATTTAAATGATATGCCATTTTAAGTATGCGATTTATGCAATGTTTTTTCCTGTGGAAAATCGCTTCTGTTAAGTGAGGCACAGAGAAAAAGAGAGAAAGCGAATAAAAAAAAACATAAAGAGAAACAAATAAAATCGCGTCAAGCACAATTTTATGCGATTTATTTCCCTCGTTGTCGAAGTTGAAGCATTTCAAAAAAAAAAATCCGATTTTAAACACTTTTCCTACAAGTTAAAACTTGTAATGGCAAAGCGTATGCGAACGTCAAGGCATCGAGAAAATGTGGGAACAAAAAGGGTGAAGGAACAAATGCGAACGAGCGAATGGATGAAAATGAAAGCGAGACAGAAAAATGGAGTGTAGCTGAGGCGAACGCATGAGTATGTGTGCCTGTGCATGTATGTGTGAGCGACAAAGAAGATAGATTCGGTCAATTTGCACATTTGCGTAATAAATAGATGAAATCGTGTTCGACAAACTAACAGTTACATGAAATCTCTCACTCTCTCACTTTTTTCCTTATTTTCTTTCTCCATTTCTCCCAATTTCTCCCTCTCACTCTCTCGCTCCCTATGTCTCCCTTTTTTCCCTCTATTTCTCTCCTTATGTCTCTCCCTTTCGCTTGCTCGGCATCTCCAACGCAGCAACGCGTTTCTCCTCCATTGATGCCAACAAACCCCAAGACCTGATGGCAAAAATCGCTGCTAAACCATTATCGATATGTATTTTTCAAACTCCCTCTCTCTCTCTCTCTCTCTCTCTCTCTTTCTCTCTCTCTCTCTCTCTCTGTGTGTGTGTGTGTCACATAAACAGGGAATAAAGTAACATCCAAACTGTTTATAGTATATTCATTCGAATCAAATGAGAAGTTCATACTCATTCCAATGTTCCGAAGGAACGGCAACTTGTTCTTCGACAACAACAACAACAACAGCAGTAGCAGTAGCAGTAGCAGCAGTATCACTACCACCATTCGAATCATTCGCAAAAAAAGTGTTGCATACATTTTCGCGCATGCTGCTTCCATCACACAGAGATGAAGCGAGTGTGTGAGAGAAAAAAAAGCATTTGACGAGAAGAGAAAAAAAACATATCAACGACAAGAGGAGCAGAGAAGCAGCAACAAAAAAAACAATATTATTAATTTTATATATATGAACGGCTTCACATACTTTAATAATAATAATAATCAGAGCATATTTAATTGTGCCACTCGAAACCTGAAGATATACGCGCTCAACACGCCGAGAGACATGATTTTATCTTCTTCTTTTTCTAAATTACAAAAACATGCCCTGGTTGGGAGAGAGAATGCGTTAGCGAATATATTTATAACACACGAACCGAAAAAGAACGGGAAAAATGAACACAACAAATACTGCTGCAAATGGAGCCGTTTTGTATGACAGCCGCAACGCATGTTACGAATAGTAAATGCAAACCAAATTAGATAAGGTGCTTTCATACCGTACCGAGAGAAGCAAGAGAAAGTGTGAATGAGCAAGAGAGAGAGAGAGACCCTCAATTAAAAGGAAAAGCCTGCTACACAAACACACTATCAAATACCAGTCCATTAACTTTACGGTGTAATTTATATTTGCTACGTTTTTCCACCACTCGTACCAATACAACACACATTCACACATTCACACATGTATACATACAGACCTACACATTCACGCAAGCACGCACACATCAACAACCACAACACCCATACATACACCCTCGCATCACAGGCTCACACAACACGATAGCGTTGGCAAATCTCTGTTTGGAATATTGAAAACATACAAAAGTTAAAAGCACGCGCGTGTCCAACGCATATACAAAAATAGGACTAACACAGACATCCATGCGAGAGACAGAGAGAGAGCGAAAGACTCACACAGAAAACGGCACGAGCCAACAAATCGTGTCTAAACAAACGACTCAGAATCTCTCGAGAGAGTAATATTTGAATGCTTTAGTGGAACGAGCTTTTTATGGTGTTTGAATCGAACGAAAGAATTTTTTGCAAGTTTGAAGATTGATACGCAGAAAAAATGAATTTCATTGAACTTTGGATAGAATATGCAATTATTTTGTATGGATTTTGCCTGTCATCAGCATGGGTTTCGCCTTTTTCTAAGTTTTTGCTTTAATTTTACGTCTATGAAGATCCATTTCACCCTTTTTTCTACATGGTCTGTATAATTTTCTCCTTTCAGCGCTATTTCCTTTTCATTATTCGCTATTTTTTCCGTTTTCGCCTAATTTTACCCTATTTTTCCAATTTCTCCTAATTTTGCCTAATTTTACCCCTTACGCCTGCATTAATTCTGATTTTTTCTCAGATTTTCTTCTTTTGCTTCCATTTTGTGTATATTTTACATCGAATTTCTTTAATTTTATTTTCATGTGGTCTGTTTCTTGTCCATCTATGTCTGCCTTTATACTTACTTCAACTACACGTTTTAGTTGTCGTTGGTTTTATCGCACTTTTACCTTTCTTTTATCTTGCTTTTGTCTTGTTTTTACTAGTTTTACCTCAATTTTCCTTGATTTTTGTAATTTTACTCCATTTTCAAAACTAACTGACGCTTCGAAACGCAAAAATGTACGAAAAGATCCACAACAGCTTCGAAAACTTCCCAATTAAATAAAAACGTCATCCGCGCCATCATTGCATCGGCACGATATTATCCGTTGCGCGAAAGATTTGTCGTTCGGATTGTGTCTGTTGATGCTCGCGCGTTGTCTTTGTCCGGGGTTTGGAATGTTCGTTGGATTGTTTCAGTTCTACATTGTCTTCCGTTCGTTTCGTGTGCGTTTTTTTTGGCTCGCGGTCGTGGTAAACATAACATAATATTCATACATATTATCTCTGTTCTCTTATCTTGAAGCCATTGAAGGAAAGACGAAGAAAAGAGGGTAACAAAGAAAAAGGAATTCGTTGCAAGGAGCCCACAGTCAATTCAAGTTTTTTTTTTAAAGATACACGGTGTACACAAGATTTCTATCGAATTGTCGCCGTGCGTACGACCGAATAGAGGGTAACAGTTTTTGCAGTGTGTGCAGAAAAAAAATAAGAGTATACAATAAAAAATTGTTCCAACGAACTAAAAAAAAAATCCTAGCCACTTCGGAGTGAAGAAGAATAGAAATCCAGCGAACGACGGCACAAAAAATCTGAATCTGTGCAATAAATTGAAGAAGAAACGAGCGAGATAAAAGCAAAAAAAAACCAACCGAAACCAGAGAAAAGCGTTCCAACAACCACGCTGCATGAAAATGAATGAACGACTTTGGAATGCTTAAGCGTAGAAAGAAATGACTTCAAAATAATTGACACTGCGGTGCGAAGAATCGAAATATGCAAATGTCGATTGATTGTTAAAAACGAATCACGGTGTGATTGTACGGTGCGCGAAACACCACACAAGACGATTCTGTCTCTTACGCATTCAATTTAATCAGATGCGGATGAGATATAGATACTGTGTCAAAAGAAATTGATGTGGACTGTGTCTTATTTTTTTCGTTAAATTTCTTTCACGTGTGTGTGAAGTGAGCAGAGAATTGTGAAAGAAGAGGGAAAAAAATCAACAAAATAACGTGTACATGTTTGCTGTGTGGAAAATGAATACAAATTCAAAAATTTATTCGAAAATGTTTTAAAGAGTAGGTGCCACTTTTAATTGATTACAATTTTTTTTTAATTTTAAATTCAAACAAATAAAAAATATCAATTTGTTGTTTAAAATGGGAAAAAAGGCTGGCGAAATGACGAGAGAAAAAAAAATGGTGAGAGACAGAGAACAAAAACATTGGTCATAAATTTTGCAGTCAGTCCGGTTGAGTGCATAAATCATTGATGTGATGGACATCACGTGGAATCATGCGGGCTCACGTTTAAATGCAGCCGAAGAAGTGCTCAGCACCGCAAAAACACACACACACACTCACACTGATTCAATGAAACAGAAAAAAAATAAATGACATTTCAAACGAGATGTTGCAACAAATTCACTCTATCAGTTCATTGATTTTATCAGAGCAATGTGTTTTGTTTTTCATCTGCTTCTTCTTTGATTTTTTTGTTGTTCATCGTTGCGATGGCTCGTTTGCCTTTTTATGGCTGCCGATAGATTGAAAAGATATGCTTTGGGCCGTGTTCAGTGTTTTGCCTTTCGTTATTCGAAAGAGCTCTCTCTCTCTCTCTCTCTCTCTCTCTCTCTCTCTCTCTCTCGAAGCAATATCGGCGCATCGATTCCTATACCTCTCACCCTTTCTACCGCTTGATTCTCTCTCTCTCTCTCACTCACTCTTTCTAGTTTTCTATTGTTTGGTCAATTTGGTCGGTCGGTTGATCGTTTGGCCGCATCATGTTCTTGCATCAACAAAACTCTTTCGGGCCATTCGATTACGAACGAACGTGTAATCAAACTGATTATAATTGATGAAGTGCGTGTGTCTCTTAAATGGCAAGTGTCCATCTGTTCATTGGTGATTTGGTGCAGGCCCAGTGTGACAAAATTCCATGCGGTGTGTTGCTGTCTCGATGGATCTCATACATACTCTCGCACAGTACTGTACAATTTTGCGTCTACAGTTTTTTTTTGTTCTGTTCGTTTCGATTCCAATTTGGCATGATGCAAAGGTCGCATTTATCATTGTCATTTAGAAAATGCTGGCTTCAAGTCAAACCATTTTCCTAATTGAATTTAATTTTTGTCGTAAAATTCCATCAGACATATCGGGCTCGATCCAAACTCACATACATAAACATCGTTACGAGGGAAAAAAAACACAGAGAAGAAAAACGTTGACATGAAAAAATCCACTAGTCATTCAATGACACAAACAAAAAGACGACGCAAATTCGTCAAACTGTTCAATTCGCATCAATCCAATCGACAATACTAATCTAGTCGGTAAATTAGCAATACACATCAGTCATTGGTTGGCTTGTTGTTGTCGCATTTTGTTGATCTCAACCGTTTAGTTTTTCAGCTTATTAGATAGATTCCTTTCGTTTTCTCGCTCAATTGCTCTCTTTCACTTTTCATACTACACACACACACACAGCAATTCATCCGAATTTACCGATTGTTATGTTACCAATGTCACCAAATTTTCAAGAGACATTTCAATTGCTATTTAAACATCAACCAACAACACACAATAAGGCCCATTTAAAATGACAATTTCGAAATGTGTTGTTACCCTCAAGACTTTATGCAAACACTTTTGGCTCAATTTTCAGTGAAAATGACTTTTTCATCGCTTCATCCATTCGCGTTGGATAAGACACCCCTTTTTGCTCTCACTCTCTTTCTCGCTCTCTCTTTCTCTCTTTCTCTCACTCTCTATACTTACACTTTTCGTCGGTCGTTTTGCAGGCTCTCATGTTTCTCAACAGTGGTCAACATCTCATCAAACTTTATGGCCAAGCACATGCACACAAAACAAGATTTGTACAGCTACAAAGAGCGAACACATTTAAGAGTTTTAAATATATGTACACTAGAGCTATTTTTCATAAAAGTTAGTTCTATGTTTGCCCAACCGATTAATTTAAGTTTGCTTAGTTTTCAATTTAATTTCGACCAACACATGGCATGCTCCATGTATGTATGGAAATTCGTTATGCCGTTGCAAAGTCGTCGCTGCTTTTGTTTCAATGATGAGTATGAACCGAAATTGCGCTGCATTATGATTGTTGTCGTCGTTGATTTTTCGGTGCTAAGACCCGAACTGGCTTTTATTCATTGAATAACTGTTGCTGCTGCCGATGCCATCGACGAGGACGACGAAAATGACAATGACAACGAAGATAACGACGAGCAGGCAATAGCAATTCCATTTAACGAGCCAAGCACAAGTTTTAAACACAAATCAACACGAATTCCATCCGTTTTCTAGTTAATTTTTAACTAAGCGCTTCAGACATTCATATCATTCTATGCTTGAATCCTATCCTTTTCCCCCTCCTTCGTTTCCATCTCCATCACCCGCGGTGTTGAAAACATTAAGCTTTAATCTAAAATTCAAAACAATAAATTATTCCTCTAATAGCATTTTATTCAAAGAAAAATGTTCACCATTCAGAAGTTTGTTAAAAATTGTTGCGTTTTCATCGCATTTACTCATTCCCCCCACCGTCTACTGAACGGCGTACCTGTTCGCATTCTATACGCTCAAACGAAACACGTTAAAATCGAAACTAACGAAATGAATTGCACGTCATGAAACGGATTCCATTGTCAATTCTTCGAATGCACAACAGTTTTTTTTTCTGTGTTGAGAATTCTATCTAGAAAAGAAATATTGCATTGGTTTGTGCTATTTCCCCGAAGTTTGTTCATTTAAAATGTTGAATCCGTGGAAATGAATAATTGTTCGGCATGTTTTCGAAACAATCACGAAAATTCCATTGAAATCTGCATGAAACTGCTATAATTTGGGCAAATTTTAAGTTTTCGAAAAAATTCAACAACACTTTTTTTTGCTACGAAAACACGTTTTCTCGTCGTCGGAATGTGTGAGAATTGCTTTTCTTCGTTCATTTTCTTTCGTTTCAATTTCAATGTTTTGTCTTTTTGTTTTTGACTTGATTTTAATTTGATTTATGTCACGCGATGCTATACCACAACGATGACGAGACAACCGAATCGCCCACCCGAAATGTCATTGCTGATGACAGCCGTCTCTCACTCTCTCGAAAAACAGAAATTGTGCATATTCATCGATTTTTGGTCAGCTGGAGAAGTAGAAAAAGAGAGATTTCAAGATCACACTTGGGTTCACAATGTACTGGAGCACGTTCTACGATTATTATTATTATTCAATTGGTTTGTGGTTGAGCTGAATCAATAGCAGTGGTTTTGAATAGACAACTCAACTTCGATTTAGACTCATGCATCGAGTATATTTTCGAACCTCGAACAATGAAAGCATTTCGTTCGAGAAAAAAAAGAAGAAATTATCAGTGGTCAAACCGCAAACCGATTCAGTGTATTTGCCAAAAGACAATATATGAATGAATGCCAAAGTAACCAAAACCTTTGACTCTGTCACACAACCTGTGGAATAGCGTCACTACTTGTCCTTTTTTTGGTTAGTACAACAAATCGCTGGCTCTGCTAAGATAGCATAATCTTTGTGGCACACTGGAACCAACAAATTCATCGAAATCATGAATTGTAGTGGAAATTTGCGTCTGTAGCAACAACAACACCAATAAAATCCCCGAGAAAAAATAAGACGACAACGTGGTCTTTATATCTGATCATGATTTATCATTTTGCCCGTACATGGTCTTAATGCACGACACCGAACATGGAAAAAATGCCGAATAGAGAGCAGAAGAAAAAAAAAACAGAGAAATACAAAAAAAACAAGCATAGATATGGAAAAAAGAAGAAAAATAAATATACGAAGAAAAAAATGGTTGGAAAAATGAAAAAACACCGAAAAAAAAACAAATCTTGCCACCGTAATGTTTTGCACTGAAAGATGATTTTGTGCCAGAGTAAGAGTGAGTGTGTATGTTTTTTTGTGGGCCTTTACTCATTAAGTGTTAAGAAATTAGATTAGTTGTCCATTTCAATAGATCTAAAATAAATTTGTTGAAACGTGACTGAAATTTCCATTATATTTATGTTGACGATGGAAATATAACAAGCTCGCGCGGGGCCTGTCTCCCTTTCGTTTACTTTCGATCTCAATTCCTCTGCTGCTCTGGCTTTTCTCAGTGTTCTATCTCTCTCTCTCTCGAATCTCACTTTATTCTTTCTCTCTCGCGGCTCACTTTGGGCCTCAGTGTCTCTGTTCCTTTCAATTTCGGTTTCTGTTTATCTCGCAGCTCGGGTGTGTGTATGTGTCAGTCAATGGATACGCACAATGAAAAAGACAAATAAATCAGACATTTTTAGCCTGTGTGTGATGCTTAACATGGTGCTGTACTGACATGAAGAATGCGACGTGAAAAGGCGCTTTGCTTGGCAATATGATAAACTATTTGCTTCAAATGTGCACTTACGATAAATTTTCTCTCTCTCTCTCTCTCTCTTTCTCTCTCCTCCCTCTCTTCGCTCATCGTAAAATACGTACGAAAATGCTGCAATCGCACCGTTAAACTTTTTCGGTGGTTGGTGTATTTCGTGTTTGGCAAACACGGATCATCATTATTCATAAATGACAGTGTGCGTGTTTTTTGCTGGCCATAAGTCGGTTGGAATATGATGTGGTTCGTTGTGTTTTTTTATGCTAAAACTTATTGCCGTTGCTCTCATTTCATAGCAGAAATCCCGTCGCTCACTTTAACAGCCTGCGACACGGTGCTTTTTCTATTTAATCATTTTCAATATTCGGAAAAGTCGTTGTCGTGTTTTTTTTGGCGCAAATATACACACATTGATGCCGCTTTTGCAATCTCTACTTCCAGGCAGACGATTTCTCTAACGTTCGTTCCCTCTCTCTCTCTCCAGTCACACGGTGTCTATTTTTTTTCTTCTCTCGTTTGGTTCGGGGGTTTTTTGATTAAAATTTAAAGTGCACATCACAGTTCGAGTGAATACGCCTATATCGCCTCGTTACGGCTTGTACTGTTATACGTTCGTTGCCTGCCTCGTGCGCTTTTTTATGGCTTTGCCATTTCGGTTTGAATGTGATGCTCA